CCGTTGACATGAAGATAATGCAATGCAACATTCAGCTCCAGCGTTGCTAAAGCCGCCTTTCATTCAACGTTCCTCTCATCGGACCGAGCCCTTCCTCGCCCGCAGCAGGACGCCCACTCGCCCTTCCTCGCCCGCAAGGACACGTGCTCGTCCTGGCGAACAGCCGGCAGCCGCGGCCATAACCTTACACATCCCGTCGTATGCCTCGTCATCCGACTCTCCTTTGCGACTTTCACCCGTTTTTTATATGCATTATCACTTATGTAATTGCGTATTGTGTAACCGCCTACCTCTGTCACCTCGGGCCGCCTCCCGCCCGCGCACCGCCCACGTCCCGCCACGCCCCTCGCACCGCCGGTACAGTAGTGTGTAGGCTACAGTAGATGCACAGGTAGGTCACGCTGTACTACCTGGATCACCTGTAACGGTCGTGCCGTCCGTGCCGAAGCCGCCGAGCCACACTTCCCCGTCGCGGAGGGAGCGAAAAGGGACAGCGAGCGCGAGAGATTTCACAGCGCGCGCCTGAGTTCGAGTAACTGAGCGAGAGAAAGGTCTTCGCCGATTCTTCTAAGGTGATTTTGCGGGGATCAAAACCTGCCGAAATGCCTTCGTGACTGGCATTGCAGTCATTAGCAATTAGTCCTTGAGAATTGTTATTGAATTGTGAATTTCCTCGGATGTCTTCCTAGTAAAGTATATTGATAGGTTATGATATGATATTGATGTGGTATATATATATATATTGTATATACATATATACATATACATATATATATATATATATATATATATATATATATATATATATATATATATATATATATATATATATATATATATATATATATATATATATATATATATATATATATATGCAGATGCCTAGTTTTGTCAGTTCCCTTTCTGCGAGAAGTGTGGATGACCTCGCGGCCTCTTGGCACGAACACCGGGTAGTCAACGTAGAGTTGGTCTTAAAACCTGCTTGACATAACTTCCGCTTGTTGAGCTGTAATCGTTAAGTAGAAAGGTAAATGTTTCACTTGAACTTTCATTTCCCTTTAATAAAATCTAATGCAACAACAGGTTATATATTAAGGAAAAATGTGATATCACGGTGTTTATTCTACAAACAAAAGATAAACATGATTGAGCTGAATAAATGATGTGTATAACCAGTGTACATAAACTTTTAAATAAATAAAGATATATAAAGAAGGTATTGGAATAATGAAAAATCCTCGTCGGCCACCTGTGAGTTTTATTCATCAATTCACGCATTTATTTTCTATGTATAAATTTCTCATACTCTGCATGGCACATCACCAACCTGAACCTACTTAAACACCTTAAACTATCAAGCCGAAACACACTTTCTTGATAGTAAAACTCACCTGCTAAAGTACATGCATTTATATAACTCCCAAACTCATTGACTTTCATTCGAGATAAATAGGAAAAGAATAATGTGGAGGAACAGGTACGGATTTCAATTTTATCGACGTATTTCGGGCATCGGAAACTGTGCTCGGGACACGCATAACTCTCCTTCATAACCTGTTTTCGAGTTTCTGGCCGCATGTTGGAGCATGTCTCACACCGGTTAACCAAGTATTACCTGTAAAAGGATTTCACAGTATAAGATACCTTAGAATATCAGAAAAGGTCTCATCACATTGCTTTCTAAATTGATATGTTGATTTCAAAAGATCACTTTCCCCGTGCTTCGCTCTCATGAATCATAACGCCATTGTAGCATCTATGAAATAGTTGTGGCACTCTGGCCTTCACTTTTTATTTTGACATTGATGATTTCGAGTCGCTGATGTGATGGAACTTCGTCCTAACATCTTAACATTCCCTCGGCGTCGACGACTAACTGACCTGAATGTTAATGTTTGCCATTCTAAGTTTAGAAAATAGTGATTATCCTTTTCATAAATGATATTTTATTTATGGTAAGACTCAGGAACACCCATGACAGTCCCTCATGTAAATATATATATATATATATATATATATATATATATATATATATATATATATATATATATATATATATATATATATATATATATATATATATAAACACACACACACACACACACACACACACGTGTGGTGTGTGTGAGTGTGTGTGTATTTCATAAAGCTATACTAAATATGTATATATGTAATCCCTTCCTTTCTTTATATATCACTTAAAGATAGTTTACGAATATTCTCAGCAGCGCTTGGTCGAGCGACCCTCCCCTCAGACCCAACCGCATGCACGCCCGTAGCTCAGACCGATCTTCACAAGCAAAGGCCCCGCTGTCCTTCCCGTTGGTTTAAAGCTTCGTCTCACGACCAAGCACTAACACCCGCAGCGCCGTAGCGAGTCCTCTAAACTCCTCTCTTACTCTTGGCCTCACTCTGCTGTCGTGGCGCGGTGCTAGACAGGTCAAGCTCAGGCTGAGGGCCGGCTTTTGTTCAGTACTGGTTGTGTAATGAAACTTAAAGCTACTTTGCATATTCTGTCTTCGTAGATCCGTAGTGTTATATCCACCCACATAGTTTTGTACTTTGTTATACTGAGCACATTCTTTTACTCTCTCTGAATTAGTTTTATTTCTTTATTCGTTGATTTTTAAGATGCTGATGTTAATACATATTGTGAAGAAATTTCAGCCATTGTAAGTGGAGTTTCTAATAGCTAAGCTGTCCAGGCTCTTCGCTCTAACGCTTCGGCTCTTCCATTGCAGGATCTTCATCTTTGGTAATGAGTCACATTTCCTTTCTCCAAATAACACCGAGCTTCTCAATATACTTAGCTTTTAACACCGACTGTGTTCTCTTTTTCTCATAATTTCATCACCCTCCACCCAACGACACCTGCAGTAACTCTCTGTCTCTCTCTCTCTCTCTCTCTCTCTCTCTCTCTCTTCTCTCTATCTATCTATCTATCCTCTATCTATCTATCTCTCTATCTCTTCTCTCTCTCTCTTCTCTCTCTCTCTCTCTCTCTCTCCTCTCTCTCTCGTCTCTCTCTCTCTCTCTCTCTCTCTCTCTCTCTCTCTCTTCTCTCTCTCTCTCTCTCTCTCTCTCTCTCTCTCTCTCTCTCTCTCTCTCTCTCTCTTTCTCTCTCTCTCTCTCTCTCTCTCTCTCTCTGTATATAATATAGATAAATGTATATACATAACATATATAAATATATATATAATATAATATAATATAATATATATATTATATAGTATATATATATGTATGTATGTATGTATGTATGTATATATATCATATATATATATATATATATATATATATATATATATATATATATATATAATATTATATATAAATATATAAATATATATATATATAATATATAGTATACACACACAATATAATACATATATATATATATATATATATATATATATATATATAATATATATATATATATATATATATATTATATATATATATATATAATATATATATATATATAAATATATATTATAATATATATTAATATATATATATATCACCATCATCATTATTACTGTTACTTTATTCTTATTTTATCACTTTAAAATATCATGATCATCATCATCAATATACTATTGTTATTATTATCATTATATTGTTATTTATTATGATATTAGTAGCAGCAGGCAGCAAGCAGTAATAGTATCATTATTTTTATTATCATTATTATTATCACCACTATTATCATAATCAGTGCCATTGTTATCCTCCTCCCTTCCTCATTATCATTATTATCATTATCATTATTATTGTTGTTATTATTATCATTATCATTATTTATTATCATATTATTATTATTATTATGTTGTTGTTGTTGTTTCTTTTGTTGTTATCATTCACGTATCATATCATAATCATTCTTTATTATCATCACCGTCATCGTTCATCATATACTAATTATTGACACTTTTATTGTTATTACTATTGTTATTATAATCATAATTATCGTCATCGTGACAAGCAGTAGCAGTAGTAGTATCATTATCATTAACATAATCATTGTTATTGTCTCCATCACTTTTATTATTGTTATCATCATTATCATCATTATTTCATTATCATTATTATCAGTGCTTATGTTGTTTTGTTATTATCATTAATATCATCATTATCTTATTGTCAATATATTATTATTGTCATCGTCTCTCGCTTTCTCTTTCCTTTCTTTTGTCTCGTCCCTTTTCTCGTCTCGTCCTCTCTTTTCTCTTCTCTTTCCATTTTTCTCGTCTCGTCTCGGTCTCCCCTTTTTGAATTCTCTTGCCTTCTCTTCTCTCGCTTCTCCCCTCCCTTCTCTGCTTTCTTGTTATCTTTACCCTCATTTTGCGTCTCCTCTTCCCTCTCTTAATCAATCAGTCCCCCCCCCATCCCTCTCTCCTTTCTTTTCTTGGGTTTCTCGCTTCTTGTTTTCCTCTCTCTCTCTCTCTTCTCTCTCTCTCTCTCTCTCTCTCTCTCTCTCTCTCTCTCTCTCTCTCTTCTCTCTCTCTCCTCTCTCTCTCTCTCTCTCTCTCTCTCTCTCTCTCTCTCTCTCTCTCTCTCTCCTCTCTCTTCTCTCTCTCTCTCTTTCATCTATCTATCTATCTATCTCTCCTCCTCTTCTTTTTTTTCGTTCTCATCTCCTTTTCACATTCTCCCTCACCCCCCCCCCCCATTCACGCTCGCCTGTCCCTCCCTCATAGGCTTCACGCCCCCGATGGTGCACCGCCCACGCCCTTCGTCCCTCCTCCTTGTTCTTCGCGCCCTTTCCTTGCCTCCCGCTGCTTCTCTGTCAAGCCCTTCCTCCCGACGAAAGCACCCACGCCCTCACGCCCTCACAGCCAAGCCTTGGCCGCCTCCACC